TATATTTAGACGTTAAACTTTATAACTTTATGCTGAACTGATGGATTGAAGTTAAACATGAGACGTCAAAGTGAAAAGTTAAACCACTGTTCCCTTTAAGTTCATCATTTTTAGTTGTGATGTTTGTTCTGTGGCCGGAGACATTAGTTTTTCACGACGTCCATCTGTCCGTCTCAGTCTCGTGAACACAGAAGCTGTGTCTTGATTCATGAGGTTTGACTTCTCGTGCGTTGTCTCCATTTCTCCCTGGTCTGAACTGACGTCCGCACTTTACAAACCTGTGACTCTCCGCTGGCGTTGTTCTGATCTCCGACATCTGCAGGAAAGACGAGACAGCAGCAGTGAGCGATTTCTGTTTCTACCCATTTGTCAGGAGTTCATCTTTAAAACGTCTGACACGTCCACATTTTTTATTCTGTGACAGATTCTTTTTTCAGCCTGAGATTCAGGAGCTCATGAATCACGAACGGCGTCCGTTGCTCAAACGCGTCAGCTCGTCCAAACCGACCACAGCGGTCAGGTTGGGTCGTCATCGTTTCCTCTGCGGCCTGAAGCGACGCTGTGATCGTGTCGGGAACAAACGACTGGAAAATGATTTCCATGTGATCAGGAGAGGGAACGTGCAGATTTTAAATAGTAGATGAAGTTTGAAGGTGGATTTCCTGGAACTGAACAATAACGTCTTTAACACCTGCAGGTGATAAGTGTGTGTGTGTGTGTGTGTGTGTGTTCATGATGACGAAGGACTGTTGTATAGCTCCTTCATGTGTTTTTAATAGTTCTCAGACATCGATGGAAACTCTACCAACACACACACACACACACACACACACACACACACACACACACACACACACACACACACACACACACCCCCTCCCCCGCTCGTCAGTGGTCAGGTTGGATAATGGATCATTGTAGTTTCCTCTTGTGGTTCGAAGCTTCACTGGGATCGTGTTAATTTGTTTGTCTGTCTGAAGTGAGGACGAGTCAAAGCTGATGCAGAAATGTTTTAATCACTTTCTGTAACATCGTGACACAAGACGTTCTCTCGCAGACTTCCCAGAAATTAATTCACGGATCTGAACGAAAGGCCTCAGTGGAGGGGTGAGCTCGTGTGTTTGTGTGTTTGTGTGTTTGTGTGTTTGTTTGTGTGGAGTCTCGTGACCCGAAGAAGAACCATTACATTTCGGAGCAAATCCTGATAAACAGATTGGACGTGGTGGAGGTCTGTGAACTTCAAGCTCCATTTGGTTTGGTTCGATTTAATGGGATTTGTTGACAACAAGAACATTGAAGACAATCAGACTTATTTAAGAATGAATGAAATGTAAATGAACTGAGTTTGGTTCCACGTTTCTTCCAGCTCAGTGCCGATGTGTTGTTTTTTTTTCAGTTCTTTGAGCTCGAGGGTTTTTCCGTCTTGTTTCTTTAACAAACTCCAAACAGGATTGTTCAGACGCCGCCCGTGGAGGTCAGTGAAAATCCTACATCACGTAATGTCCTTTAAAACTCTGAGAAAATATGAGCATTTATAGAAAACACTTATTTTCTGTATAATGCTGAAAACTGAGGCGTTAGACTTGTTATCGTGATGAGGCTGAGAGCGCTCTGTGTGTTTGTGCAGCTGTCGGCTGGATCCCGTCACTCTCACTGTGCTCGAGGAATTATGAAAGAAAATCTGTGAACTTCTGAAGAAGATCGAGCTCAGGGCAAGAGACGACAAGAGTTCAGTCTCAATCCAGATCTGCAGCGTCCACACAGACGTTCTGACCAGGAAACAACGGTCGCATGGATTCTTTGGTCAAATTAAAGATTTATCAGTTTGTCGTGTTTAAATTCTCAGTCTGTGATTTCACAGAGAATTAGATCAAATCTGTCAGAGGTCGCAACAACATGTTGGAACCAGACCCACAGAGCTGAGCTCACAGAATGGAATCAGGCCGATTATTCAATCAGTCGGTGGGGGGATTTATGAAACACACACACACACACACACACACTCTCACACACTCTCACACACTCACACACACTCACACACTTGAGGCCTCCATCAGTTCAGTCTGAACACTGGGATCACTTTACAAAAAGCTGCAGCACAAATCTAATAAAGGTTCCATTATAGTCGCTGCTTTGCAGTTCTACCTCCCCCCCCTCCCCCCCACATCTACTCCACTCACCCACTCTCTCCTCCCCCCCTCTCTCTGTGTCTCTCTCTCTCTCTCACCTGTGCCAGGTTGTCTGTAGATCTGCAGAGTCGCAGGAGTCGGTCGTCTGCGGCGGATCTGAGGTGAACACACACAAACACTTTTTTCTAATTTGTCTTTCTTTGAGTGATTATCAGAATTAAAAAGAATCTCCTGGTGCTCAGTAAGAGTTCCTCCAGTGTGAAAGATGTAATGAGGCTTTAAAAACACAATGAGTCACGGAGCTTTCTTAAAACAAAACTCCTGAACCTGATTCTCACACAATGAAAACACAAAATCAGACTCACTCTTTAATTTGTGGAGTATTTCTGTCTGCACACTTCAGCAGTTAAGAGTTAAGTTCATTATCTTAAACGGATCTTTGAAGATATAAATTCCCACTTAGAGCTTCAGTCATTCAAATACTGTTAATGGCAGAAATAAAAACACACGGCTTGATGTTAAAATGAAAAACACGATCTTTCACCGATCAACTGGTCAAAGATAATAACTGCTCAACCTCAGGGTTTAACCATCTGTAGTTTAAAGATAAGGACTCTCAGCTCCTGCTCGGAGGAATGTAAATGTTCACTGCATCCTGGACGAGCGACTGGAGGTTCACGAGATCGTAAAAACACGTCGCTGAGATGTATCTTTGACTCCTGGAGACGGTTTCCAACACAGAGACCCTCCAAACACACACACACACACACACACACACTGACACACACTGAGGGGCCCTAATCTGTCACTGTTCATCTACCAGCTTCCTTAAAAACGAACGACTTCCTGTCTCCAGTGACTAAACACCTCGTAAAGACGTCAGCGAGTTAAACGGCAGAAAAACTGTCAGAGAAGCTTCTGTTTCCTTTTAGCTGCCGTTCACTGCTCGTTGTAAACAGACCTCTGGTGTTCACGTCGCTCTACCTGACTTCTCCACCTTTACTCGTGAACGCTCGCTCTGTTTGTCACGTCCTGGGCTTTCCCACAATGCCTCTCTGCACACCCTCAGAGATTGGGCGTAAACTGGCAATCAGCCGCAGCTCATCCGTGACGGCAGTGGGTGTAACGTACGTACATGTCCCCGTCACATTTACATCATCAGCTGCTGCTAACGTAAACACGGAAACAGCACATGAATAAAAACATTAGAAAAACACGTCTGACGAGGGAAACGTTCTCTGAGAAGTTTGATCGTGGAGGAAATATCTGAGAAATGCAGAATAGAAACAGTTTTACAGTTTATTTTATTTCTTGATTCTCACTCAAACGTGGAAATAAGACAAAACAAACGTGCAGAAGACACAAAACACCTCGAAGTGTCTCACACACTGCAGCTGTAACACGTCCAATACACACAAACACCCGTTTCCATCAGAATTACACACACATGCAGCTCTGCACCCACACACTGTAAATTCCTCACAGGATCAGGGATAGTGGCCCCATTCAGCCGCACAAACACACAACACAGGGACACACACACACGCACTCACATGTTCGGCGGCCTGTGGGTCCAGCTGTCCCTGCAGAGGAGGCGCAGCAAACTGGATCTTCTTCGGACTGCTGGGCTCCATTATCACTGACTGAGAGGTAGAAAGAAAGACAGACGGAAAGAGAGAGAGAGAGTGTGTGTGTTTGTGTGTGTGTTTGTGGAGGAGGGAGGGAGGGAGCAGAGAGAGAGGGAGTGGTCTCCTCTCGGCTGCTGGGGTCCATTATCACTAATTGACAGACCGAGAGAGCGTCAGAGAAATGAAGCTCAGTTATTGCAGCATTTTACAAAACACTTGTGAAACAATGTCGGAAAAGAGAAGTGACGTTTTTTACAGCGTGAAGATAAATAAAGATAAAAGAGTTCACGTCCGCAGCTCTGACACTTTCAGGACTTTCACAGATTGAACCTGTTTCTGGATATTTGATTTAAATACTCGTCTTCATGATACAAATTATTCTGATGATATTCACGTTTTGTTTTGTGGCGCACATTCATCGAGTGAGTCCGTCCGTCCCCATCGTAAATAAAGATGGACGACATGACAGCTGCAGTGTAGGTCACATGGGGCGGCCTCCCCCGTGTTAGCAGATGGGACATGGGCCGAACCACAAAGTCAAATAAATGTATTTATTCATTGAACGATAAAGTGATGATTCAGTTCAGACAGGAAACGTTTGTGCTCTGGTGTCGCTGACTTGAGATCAGCTGAGACTCATTGGATGAAATCGTCATCGGAGCAGAAAACAGCAGCTTCTCAATTCACATCATACGAGAATTAATAATAAATAATATGAAATACAATAATGAGACGTGTCATCTGAAGCAGGAACCTTCAGGCAGGAATTTAAAACTGTGTGTGTGTGTGTGTGTGTGTGTGTTGTTGGCAGTCTCAGTGGAAACACTTTGTCTCAGTGGAGACATCTGGAGAGACTTACTGGCTACTGTAGGTGGAACAAACATCACACAAAGAGCCTCTTGTGTGTGTGAGTGTGTGTTTGGAAACTCAACGTGAGACAGAACGTCCCAACAAACACCTGCACTTTACACGTATACTGTCAAAGTCCTTCAGCTGCACTGGATGAAGTACTTTCATTTGAATCGTTAAAAACTTGATAAGACAACGGGACGTGTCGCAGTAAAGAAACAGAGACCGTGTCTCTCGTCTGAAATATCTCAACTCCTTAACTCCATAAATTCACACAGTAATATTTTTAGGTTTTCACTGAACTTGTTTTCAGACGTAAAAAAAAAAGTGCTTCTGTAAAATCTGAGCGATAAAAAAACACTGAAACCCTGAAAACACGAAATACACGTCAGAAAATGTGTCTTCATTGAATTTGGTTCCTCGTCCCTGGGGACAGAAGTGAGGACTCTGTCTGACGGCGTGGACTCGTTGTTCGATGCTGAATCAGACGTTTCCTGATGGATACGAATCCAAAGTTACACGATTCAATCAGAAAACATTCATCGTTAGTTTCGTCTCTTGAAATAATTCAACAACACCTGTTTCCTTTCTGCATTTTTTAATCAGAGACACAATTAGAATATTTCCAGCACGACAACACAGGACGATCATCTACACACGCGTGTCCCGATCTCGGACACTCGAGGTCCTGGACTCTGTCACGGCTGCACGGTCTGACTCAGCTGGTTAATGGCTGCAGTGCGTGTTCGGAGGGTGCGCGTGGCGACAGCGCCAACATGGCTGCGGAGTGAGAGCGTGCAGATGTGTGTGTGGTGGGTTTGGTGCCCACAGGGGCGTGCACAGTGTCGGGGGGCGTGTGTGTGAGGGAGGTGGTGACCTTTGACCCTGAGCTGAGAGCTGTCGAGGTTTTGGTCGTTGTTGTTGATGATGATGTTGCTGTACTGTTGGTTGTGACCTCCGTTGCCATGGTAACATCATCTGCTGGCATTGAGGCGGTTGTTGAGGCATCAGCCTGTTGATGCTTCCTCCTCCTCTTCCTCCTCCTCCTCCTCTTCCTCTGTACCTCTCCTGTGTTTCCTCCTCCTCTCCCTCAGGTCTGCGTTGCCGGATGCTGAAGAACGTTTCGTCATCGCCACGGTTCTGAGGGAACACCTGCAGGTGGAGGGTGGAGACGACCTGAGGGGGGCGAGGCAGGAAGGAGAGAGGGATGAGGTGAGGAGTCAGGGAGGAAGGCTTGTTCTTCTCCTCCCGCCTGTTTGACGTCTCTCCCGTCTCGTCTCCGTCCTCTCCTCCTCCTCCTCCTCCTCTGGATTCATCCTCAGCAGCGTCTCCACTCCTCTCGGGTTCAGGCGTCTCGTTCCTGGAGCTGCTGCTGGAGCTGGAGTCCGTCTCCGACTCGTCGTCCACCTCTGGACCGGAGTCTTCGGCCGAGGAGCTGGACTCGCCGTGGTCCCCGCGCCAAGTCACGGAGCTGGACTTGATGTTGTAGCAGGCGGCGCAGCGAGACAGACTGAGGTGTTCAGGACCGGGTCTGGACTGAAGACAGAGATGAGTACAGACGCTGTTTATCAGAACTCTGTGTCTTTCATTTAAACCGTTTCAAGTTCTAGCTTCAGTTTACAGGACATTTAGAGATTTAGAGTAAAACTCTGAATATGAAGTAGTTTTCTAAACGAGTCACCAGATTCTGTGCAGCCGATAAATCTCTTGATGTAAAGATGTAAAAATAAAACACATCTGAAGAAGAGAAATACGTTAAAAAGCAAAGGATAAAGAGAAAAACTATGTTTTAAATAAACGGAAAGAAAAATGAGCAGTCTGTACTGCAGTGAAGTAAATATTATATAAAACAAAGCAATTATTATTTAAAAAACAATAAATGATGTAAAAAACATGCTATGCACATATTATATTTAAATTAATAACTTGTATCTGATAAAATCATATATTCAATTTGATTATTTCAATGTTTAACTCTTGATTATCGAGAGAACAGAGTTTTAGAAAAGCTGCGGTGTCTCATGAGATCGTGATGAACCGTTACCTGCAGCGTGGTTCTGTCTGCAGACGGATCGTCAGTCGAGCCTCTGGACTCGGACATGAGTCCCGTAGTTTCTTCTGTTCACACAGAACAATCATTTGTATTCGTCCCTCGGGACTCGGTGGGTGTTAGTTTATGTAAGTTATTGGTTTATTGATTCAGACTCACCCGCTCTGTTACTGAGAGGAACACAAAGTTAGAGCAGCTTCTTCTTCTTCAGACACAGGACGAAATCCAGCACGGAGCAATAAAAAAACTAAAACACGATTCAGTTGCTTTGCAGGATTAACTGAGAGGGTTTGAGTTTCTCATCTGAAAGGTTGAACCGACAATATGAAGAAATCACCAGCGAGAAGTCGACTGCACCTGAACCTCGACCAGAGAAACAACGAGGTAAAAACTTCATTCATTGATAATAGAATGTATAATTTAGAATAACTTCCTGTTTAAACAGTTTTATCTTTACATCAGGTTAAATACAGAAACACGTATTCACTTTGCACAATGTGCTCATAATTCAAAATATAACTATCTTCTTGTTTTAAAGATTTTAAATTATGTCAGTTTAAAAAAACATACATACTTATTCTTTCACGTTCTCGTCCTCCAGGACGTGGTCGGACTCTTGGAAAATCAGGATTCAGGAGTGTGTCTCTCCTTTACGTAAGTTCTCTTTAAAACTCACACGCACACACACACGCACACACACGCACACACACACGCACACACACTCTCACACACACACACACACACTCTCTCACACACACACACTCTCTCACACACACACACACTCACAGACACACTCACACACACACACACACACTCTCACACACACACACACACACTCTCTCACACACACACACACACACCCTCCCTCTGTAAACACACTCCAGGATCATGCTCCCGGCTCTTTGACTAACTGACACCTGTTGAATCAGTAATTATATTTCATTTATTGTACTGTAATTATATTTGATGTCTTTATTGGTGCTAATTGTCTTCATCACAAACACAACCACAGATCCACTCAACTCTCAAACATGATTTTATTCAGAGAATGAAACACACGTCACTTTGTGCAGAGACACTTAAGGCTTGAAAATCTCTCTGCCGGTTCAAACAGGCTGTCGATCAATAAAACTTTAGGACAGACAAAGTAAGATTTATTGGACATTTTGAGAGAGAAGTTGGACAACACGTGAAATATCTTTGTTTAATATGAAGTGAAAGCAGCTTAGTTAAACATAAAGACAAGAAAAATGACAAAGTTAATACTAATATAAACAGTTTGTGTAACTCTGATAAAACCAGGACAGATTATATGTTGGATCAATTTAAAGTCGCTTCAAACTAAGTCGTTCATTTAAAGAGACGAGTTTGTCAGAGATAAATAGTTGAGATGCTGTTAAGTCAAACTCATAACGAGGCACATGAAGAACAACGATCACAAACAAAAGCATTTGTACATTTTCTTCAAAAGTTCAGACAAATATTAAAATCGTATTTATCTAGAAACAGATTTCACGTCAAACCCTTGTCGTGTTTTCATGTTTCTCTAAAATCAGTTTGTGATATTTTGTTTTAAAATCTCCCGTCGGAGCTTTAACTACAAAATCCACCTGATGCTTCAGTGAACCCGGGAAAACACGTCTTCACAGTATTTTTAGAATAAGTCAAGAAAAATACAGGATCCACAGTTTGAATATGTTCACAGCAAATACTGAAAACACACACGTTTTGGTTAAAAAGAGAATAATTTATAAGGCTTCAGAGAAAACATTAACATCTGGATTGTTTTATAACTTCACCACTTTCAGACGCAAAGAATGAAATAAAAGAGATTTAAACTTTAAAGTGCAAAACAACCTGTACGCACTGGAAATGGAGGGAAAGTTACTGTGAGGTCGTTGATGATGCTGAACTAATTATTCTCAAGAGAAACGAACCGATTCTCAAACCTTTGTGTCTTTAAGGATAAATTAAACACAAAGCATTCAATTAGTTTTGGCCCCGACGAGTTCACTGTGAGCACGTTACACCACGTTAGGATCTATAGGTGGAGGAACACGGCCGCTGTCCTCCGCTCAGTTCAACCATGTGACCGGTCTGGTTTCGATTGTTCCTTCACGCCTGTTTGCTCTGTGACGTGTCTGAACAGTGAAACATGTCACAAGACTTCAGAGCTGATTCATCGGGACAGAGATCCACACGACTTGGTTCGACACTTTCTCCGCTCTTATTTCTGAGTTCTCGTGCGAAGCACTCTGATGAAACATCATCATCCACCGTGGAAGAGTTAATGACTTTAATCCTAAGTTGATCATTTACTAATTATTCATTGATTAGTTATAATACAAACAACTTTAAAGTTTCCAGGTTGTGGAAAAACTCCTCCGCTTGTGTTTTTGAATCTTTAATAGTTCAGACACTTATGTTATAATATAAACGTTAGAATTTTACAGCTCTGGAAAAACTCAACTTCACCTGCTGCCGAACACGTAGAGATAAAGTTTTAAGACAAATCTAGACGTCTGTATCTACAGAGTTGTTCCTCACTGGACAAACATCTTTTATTTTATTCACAACCTGTCGACACGACAGCTTTTATTCATGTTTTAATCTAAAGTGAATGATTGACCTTTAATGGTTTTTCCAAATAAACGGCTTCCGTCAGGGAGTGTTGTCGTCAGCTGCGGACACCGATTCATCCGCTGTCACAGTTGTAGAAATACTTTAGCGGAAACATTCTCGGGTGTTTGTTTTGGCAGAGGAGATGAGAGCAAAGCTCCTGGCTTCTTCTTCTGAAATGACCCTGAGCTCAGCACGCTCGAGAAAAATCTAACTGACAAAACAAGGTCACGAAACCAGCAGATACAGAAACGAGCTTCAGAAATAAACTGAAATCAACATAAATTATGTTTTTGTTTTTTTCACACTGACAATTTGGTAAAATGTCTTTTACTCGTTTTGCTTTATTTCTGTGTTTTCTTGATTGACAGTGAGTTGAGCTTCCAGGGCCACCGTACTTCTCTCTTCAGGGTCAAGTTTGGATGGAATCATCTCTACAGGGACAAAATAATCACTGAGGAAACACAAATGTAAAAAGGCAGCAACTTGAACACTTTCACAACTTTCTGTCATTTACAGACTCGTCCGCTGACTCGTCTGCGGAGCCGAGGGAAGAAAACCAAGAACCAGGAGAAGGTGCCAACTCCTCGGAGGAAGCGGAGCTGCAGACTGAAACAAAGTCTTGTCTTCCTCGTCACGCCAGAAGAAAACTAAACCTCTGTTCTGACCGAGCGTGACGCAGCGTGACCTCGGAGAAGGTCGTCTGCTGGAGAAGAGAAGAACGGCACATTTAAAGATCTTTGCATTTAAGCAAACGTCTGAAGACTGACACTCCTCGGCTCAGCGTCTCAGAGCTGCTCCAGGATCCTGTGAAGACTCGGTCCGGTTCCTCGCTCCGCTCTGACGTCACCACCTCAACGCTGTCAGGGAGAGGGACGGACTTCTCTAGAGTCCAGAGGAGGACATGCTCCAGGGAAGGAAAATAAAAGTTCGCAAAATACTGCAGGAGACGAAGCTTTCGTGACACGGCGGCTGATTTAAAAACTATCTGTACATTCTTGGGTCAATTTAAAAACTGTGGACTCACAGTTGTTCATATATTTATACTCTTCCAGGGAGTCGTCATTTGGTTGCTGGGCTTCACTGCAGTAAATACAACTGCACTTTTCTTTCCCTGGTTGATTCACAGGTTTTTCCAGGATTCCAGCTTCACAGTCTTTATTCTGAAGTGAGTCCATCCTGTGAACGCGGAGACGTGTCCCTCCGTCTTTTTGTCTCTCCAGTGTGTTCCGTTTAATTTAAAGGCTTGAGGGGAAATGACGCATGAAGTGCACGTGTGAAGAAGAAGAAGAACGTTCCTCGCAGCAGGTTCATCGTCTCTGCGATGAAGACGGCGTCCATGTCTCCGCTGTGACGTTAACTTGTCATGTTCTAAATCTCTGAGTCCAGAACTCAGCAGGTTCGAGTCTCGACGTCTTTCAGATGGATAAGTCAGTGTCTGTGTCGGTGGGCGTGTTCTTCTGGCTCGTGCCGCCGCCTCTCTCCTCGGGAATGGAGGACGGGTCGCCGTTAGGACTCGACAGCAAACCTGCAACACGTCAACAATCACATGTGAGTCGTTTTTTTTTTTTTTTTAACCTGTTTAAAATGACATGGATGTTTCACACATGTAGAAGATGTGTGTGTTTCCATTCACCTACTGAACACAGAGATCACGTTCAAGACGTCAGAAACATGTTGGAGGCTACAATGACCTTTGACCTTTGACCACCAAATTTCCCTCAGTTCATCTTTGAGTCCAGGTGAATGTTTGAACCAAGTTTGAAAGAATTCCGTCAAAGTGTTCTTGAGATATCACGTTCACAACAATGGGACGGAAACGAAAAGATGGACGACCTGAAAACGTGACGCCTCCGGCCGCTAGCTGAGGATATTAAAAATAAAAAAGTCAAAGATACCTGAATGTTTACAAGTCTTGAAATTACACAAAATAATGTCTTCATGCTTTTTGTGTTGGTTCAGTACGTTGGGATGGAAACACACGGATCTAGAATATGTACGTACAAGTTACACAAAAGAAAATGAAACTTTGAAATCCTGTGAAGTTTTCACACAAATATTTACTTGTACTCAGGTTTTTGTTGTTTGTCGATCAACTGTTTAAACAATAAATCCTGATTCTCTCTCAAAGACGGAACGTGTTCTCGTTATTTTCTACTAAATTAAAAACTTACTGGGAAATAATCAAGAATTTCCAGAACCATAGAAAAAAAAAAGTCACTTCCTGTATGTGCACAATGAAAAAACGTACGTTCAGTATCGTAAACCGAGCTGTCGGAGCATGTCCGGTTCCTGCGCTGCGTTGACCTTTGACCTCCACTCACGTACTCCTTCAGCACACCTGACCTGGGAAGAGAAGACGGACACAGATGGGAAACTATCTCACCTCAGTCGATGTTCTTAGTCTTTTGTGTATAAACTGATTTTCTACAACAAGTGAAATGTGTTTGTTTCGACATCTCGTTCTTCTCAAGGTCAATGAAAGTGTTTCACTGTTAAACTTTCTTTTGGCTTCAAAAGAACGAGAAGTTTTCTACGTTTGTTTCTGTGAAAACTTTACAGCGACGAAATGTTTTGCTTTGACAGTTAAATGATATCAAAACTTTATTCTGACACTAAAACTCTTTAGTGAATCTGTTTCCTGTGACTGAAAACCACAGGAAACCATTGGAACAAATCCAGTCCATCGGTCTTGTTTGGTGCCGACACCGTTTCTTAAAGGTAGCTTTGTTATTCACAGTGTTGCCACGCTGCCCCCTGGAGGCCAGATTCAGACAGTTTTAAGATCGAAGCAGAAATGTTTGACTCAGTTTACAACAAATGATTCAAAGTTTAAAAGAATAGAAATGTATTTGAACGTGGATTTAAGGCTCTGGTATTTTTTACATCTTCATCATTTCTGTGTTGTTGTTTTTTGCACTTTGAGCTTCAGCTCTGCACGAAAACTACAAGAGAAATAAAAGTATAAATTCTAATGGACAGAAAGTTTCAGCTCACCTGTCGAAGCTGTAAGTTCCAGGGTGACTGACCGACCTCTTCATCTGAGCAGAGACAGAGCACACGTCAGTAAAACACCTCCGAAGCTTCCTCACAGTTTTATGACACAGTTGCATTAAAGAAATCAGCGTTTAATAAATAGAAGAGAAGAAAATAAGAACGTGAGTTTCAGCCGTGAGCATGAAAATGTTTGTTATCTACACGATGAGCCGCCTGAATCTACATGACTCCGAAACTTGTGTTTCTTGTAAATAACTGTGATTTACTCTCACAGCTAATTTATCCAATTATTTTTCAGTGCACATCAATTTAATTTGATTTCTTTTTGGCTTTTTTGGGATTATTTATTTTTATTTCATCCTGCGAGCATCAGGAAAATGATGGAGTGTGTTGCTGAGTGTGACATAATGTGCAAACTCACATGAAATAAAAGATTCTTAAATTATTGTTCATTACAGCCGTTTTTCTTATATCTGGATTCTACAGTGATAATTAACAAGAAACTGCTGTACAGTGTTTTTCTTGGCGTTTAATTGAAGTAATTTATTTTCATATTCAAAATATTTCCACAACGTTAGTTAATTTGAAAACTAGAAATATTAGCCAGTATATAGTTTTCAGATTATTTAAATATAAATATGAGAACTGTCATTTAGCATGTGTCTGTTTTTATTCTGGTGTAAAAGTACAAAATAAGAGTAACTCATTCAAATAACATGGAAGACTCAATGATTTTAGCTGAGTTGGTGTTATTACCTTCTCAGGAGGTCGGAGGTCAGGGATCAGACTCTGGTTGGCCAGAGTCATACACTCCTCCAAGGTCCTGATGAACGTCGCACAGGTCGCACTGAGGAGCGACGCCTGGAGAGAGAGAGAGAGAGAGAGAGAGAGAGAGAGAGAGAGAATACCGATCATCTGCATCAGACACACAAACGTACGAGTCGTCTCTGACAAACAACACGGAGGGAAATAAAGACAAACGTCTAACTGACAAGAAAATCTCGAAGAAGATGAAACGTTTGAACTAAAACTCGTTTCAGTTTCAAACTCCTGAATAAACACTTCTACTAAACATGATGTTTATTTTCATCATTGATTCATATAAAATATTATAAAACTGTAAAATAGAAATGTTTCGTATGATTCAAAGTCGTCACATTGTTGGAGCAAGAATAAGAACATTTCTGGAATTTCTCATTACTCAAAAATTCATAAATGATTATTAAAATATTTGCAGATTATTGTTATAATTATTCTGTATTTTTCCTACATTCACTGTAACGTGTTAGTGTTTCACCTTGATGCAATGGGACCTCAGTTACAGAAGCGTGTTGCATTAACTTGAAAAAAAAAAAACAACTGTTTTTTCTGGGTAATTTATTTTTTGGTTTGTTTTTTTCACTAATTTTTTCTGTTTTTCTGACAAATTTTTTTTTCTTCATGTTTGTTTCCATCACATCCAGCTCTCAATAAAGGAATGAATGTGTCTATTGTTTCAAATGCTCTTTAAACTCAGAAAAAAATATTTGTCCGAAAAACAGAAGAAAAACAATTTGGCCGAAAAAAAGAAGAAAAAAAAATTTGGCCGAAAAACTGAAAAAAATATTCCAAAAAACAAACAAAAAATTAAATTTCACAGAAAAAAATGATTTTTTTTTTCAGGTGAATGCAATACGCTTCTGTACTCAGTAATCTGACTTTTATGTAAAATATCTCGGAGTGACAAGTGAAAACATTTTCTCCAAATCAACGAATTGTTTGAGCTGCAGAGAACACGACACTGTCCTGTTACCTGAACCAGTGGACGTTCATTCTGATTCAAATGTTTTTACCTTCATGAGAATAAAAGATAAATGTGACAAACAATCAAAACACATCGTCGGTGTCGTTTACCTCAGAAGTGGGTGCGGCCTCCGTGTCGGCGCTGTGCTGTGATTGGATGGTTTGGACCTGCTGGACGAGGAGGTCGCAGTACAGACGAAGTTCTGACATTTTCGTTTTCAGACAGTCGGGACCTTCGGAAATGAAATTGTAAAAAACCTTAATTAGACTCTCAAGGATAAATTAATGAACATCTCTTTTTCAATTTCTCCCTGGACTCAGTGAGGAACTTGTAGTAAAATAAGATTTTTATTACTTTTAAGATTTAAAAACTTTGAGGGACAAATATTTGGTGCAGTCAGAAAGAGCCAGTACTGAGAATGAACCAAATAAGCCTCATCACTCGGTCTATTCCAAGTTTTTAAGACTGAACATCACTTCAACACATAAAGAATAAAATAGCACAACTGATAAACCTCGTCATTGCTGTAATATTCAGCTCCTTGGTCAAACATTTATACTTTTTCAGAGCAGACGTGAGGATTAAAAACAGGTTTTTTCCTCTGACATCACACAACTTCTTTTACTTTTGGTGTTTAACGATGAACTTCTTCACATCAACAGTCTAAATGGTTAGAAAGTCATTTTCCCAGGAACAGAGAGAACCAGGGCAGACGACAGACAGATGTTTACCTCTGTGTTTGTGACTGTCCAGTGTTCCAGCTTTAGACGAACCTAAAGCCACCAGCCATCTTTGTCTCTCGGCAGCGTTCACCGCTCTGACGTAGAAGTGCTGCTCGCCGGGGATTATCAACTCCAGACGTGTGGCGTCTGTGGGATGAACTGAAACGTACAGCAGAACATCAGACAGGTTCGTTGGATGCGTTTCTCTTTACGTGACTAAAGCTTTGAACGGCGGCCGGACCTTTGATCTCACACATGGACATCTTGATGGATCCTTTGCTTCCTTTGCCAACGTCGTCCTCGCTGTCGTAGTAAGAGATGACTCCGTTCTCCAGGACGAACCAGCGAGGCTGCCAGCCTGAGGGCCGACCACAGTCAACAGCATCATTCAAAAGACTTTTATACTTATATTGGATTTTCAATATCTCCAAGGGCACAATACTTTTATTATTCTTATGCTCTTGTGCTCAACTGTTTTGTGTGAAACAGGAAGCTTACATTTCCTTCAGGACGAATAAAGGATCCAACCATCTATCTATCTATCTATCTATCTATCTATCTATCTATCTATCTATCCATCCATCTATCTATCCAACCATCTATCTATCCATCTATCTATCTATCTATCTATCTATCTATCTATCTATCTATCTATCTATCTATCTATCTATCT